AGTTCTGGATGTGGTGTTTTTTTCCCGTAAAATGTTTAAAAAAATAACATAAAATAGTTAAAAATGTATCATTAACATCTTCATCACAGCATCTTGTTGTGTTTTCCACTCGTTTATGTAATTTCCAGTCAGAAAAAAAGACAGTAAGACACTGTGTTAGAGATGTTATGCTAAGTTATTATGAATTTGAACTATTTCTATGTTTTTTCAAATGAAGTTTAGAGAAAATGCAGCTTCTACATGATTCCAAACGGTCCTACCATGTTCTAGAGCGTTCCAAAACACCATAAACTAAGAACAGCTGATGCAGTAGTTCTCTAGTCATGGCATTTTTAGTAAAAATATGCAAAGAATAACATATAAATTGTTAAAAATGATAATTAACATTGCTAACACAACATTTTATTGTGTTTTTTAACTCGTTTATGTCATTTGCAGCTAGAAAGAAGCTGTTGGTTGAATAAAAATTCACCATAAATCAAAATTTGGCACATGTATGAATAATTTTACAGCTGAACCGTATACATGATGCTGACGTGTGTGTCAATCTGTGTCTTTAGTGTGAAAAACAGACTTACTTGCCAGACAGAATGTCCTGTCGAAGCTGCAGCACAAACAGATACCTGTTGACGCACAAACAACAAACAACGTGAGCGAGACATAAATCAATCGATGTATCACGAGCCTCTCCTCATCTCTGACACGTAATTTGTTTTAACAAGTCTCTGTCCGTCCGGCCTTGATTTGAATCTGCCCACAGCAGCAGAGTAATTAGCCCCACGTCCCCTTTGGACCTCGACACCGGAGGCTCCAGAGGAAACTGTGGATGATTTTTTTTTTTTTACCTTGTAAATTCCTCACGCAGGTTATTTGGCTCCGAAGAGTAAAATTTCACTCTGAAGAAGAGTCGGTATGGCGAACCATCTGAAAGAAGAAACAAAAGGAGGGAGGGGGGAGACCTTCCTATGATTTATTTCGAGCATTTAATCCCATCTCTCCACTGTATATTCTTTTCATCCGCTCCATCCATCACCAGGCTAGAAATCTTTATCCACTCGTACGTCTCTACTTTTATATTTCCTCCCAGCTCCACCTGAACACCAGCCACCCAGCAGCAGACATCCATCCGTCACTGCTCCATTCATCCCTCCGCTACAATCTGCAGAGCAAACAAGGCCGCGGCTGCTAATGCACGCACTAATCGCCGTGTCAACACTCGATAACGCTCCACCTGCTCCCCCACTTACCTGCTCGCACATGCACATACAAACAGGTCTAATCAGAAAACGGTCCGAGGCCGCCCGAACTCACCTCGGATCTGCTTCTTTATCGGCTTGGACATGTCCAGCCAGTGCTGAAAGCGAGAGACAAGAGCAAGGAGGTGAGAATGAGGTTTTATCAGCTGCACGGCGGAGTAGAGAAGCAGGAGCTGGTTGCTCACCGAGACCTGATCCGAGTCCATGAACTGCAGCCCGAAGTAGTCGGTCTCCACCAGATCTATGTGGTACATGATCTGGTCGAACAGGTCCTGGCCTTTGGATTTGCTCTATAAGAGAGAAAACAAAACAAAAAAGGGAATTAGTTTAGATCTTCTCTGATGTACAAGCTGAGTTAGGAGTTGCGAAGCTGCCAGATTCAGGCATGAAAGAGTCTGAAAGCTGCAGCAAAGGAAACACACTCAGGTTATCTTTTCATTATGTGGCGTCGGTGAGCCCAACAGTCATGATAAGCTGGTTATCAACTACCTAAGTTGAGCTAATGTTGCTGGATCTGGTTCTGAAGGTTCACGTCAAAGCGTGGCCAAACATGGAGCCGAGAATTCCTCACGAAAAGAACAAACTATGGTCCTAAATTAAAAATATAATCAAGCCGTCCATAAGGAAATCCATCTACAGCTTCTACACCTTCCTCCACCTCATGTGCACCTCTTCTGGCGCCACTTTAAGTCATTTTATTTTTGCTTATGATCAGAAATGTGCAACACTCTGCTGGTTTAATAGTTCTGAATACACCAGATGTGCTACTCTTACAAGAATAAGCTGTTTTTGTAGCTTACACTGGTCTTTATATTTTATATTTGCATTTTTCTTACTGTACTTAAATAAATGCTTCTGATTGCTACTTAACGTTGTGATGCACTATGCAACGACAATAAAGGAATTAGTTTAAAAAAAAAAAGTTATAAGGTTAACAAATGAATCAAATCACTGCCCATCTTTAAGGCATAAGTCGGCGTTTCAGACCCTTTTAGCCTTTCTCTCATCTCAAGAGGCAATAATTAGCTGGTTAACCAATTAGCTGCCAACTATTTTCATAAATCATCAGCTATTTTATCATGCGATTATCTGGGCTTTAAGGCAAAAAAAAAAGCCAAAATCCCCGAACCCAACCTCCTAAAAGGGAAGGGTTTCCGAATTCCTTGCCCCCCCAAGAAAAGAAAACGAAAAACCTTGGGGTGAGGACAAAAAAACGAAAATTTTCAACAATTTCCGAAAATTTAACAACCAAAACAACTAACGAATATCATCAACTCAGCGTAAAAAATAAACCAACTGAAATTTTTAATATTAAAAAAGTGGGAAATGTGTGATTTTTGCCCAATTAATTGACTAATTAATCTACGATAGAAATAGTGGTTGGTTGCAGCTCTACTAGCTCAGACATCTGTTCCTCTGTAACACTATATGAGGTAGGTTCTAATCAGGTAATTTTATTTAATTAGATTTTAAACGACTTGTTTCCGATGCAGATGCACTCACTCTATAATTAATAATTCTTTCAGCAAGTCATGAGTCAGTGAGAATTCCTGTATTTTTATGTCTGAATATATATTAGAGAAAAACAAGTTATTGCAACGTAAGTTTTTGCCAGTTTTCTGCAGCTCTACTTATAAATAAAACCAACATGAAGGCACAAGTAGCTCCGACTATAATCGGGCTACAGCTGTGTTTTCCATTATATCAAAGAGTTTAAATTAGGGATGCATGATATATCGGCGACCACATCGGTATCGGCCGATACTACGTTTTTTTCTGGTCCAATGAACAAATGTAGTCGATGTGAAAAACCGATGACTAAGCACCTTCATTCCTACATTTGATATTGTTGCTATTTCACAGATGTTTTTACTTAAATGGACTTGAACGTTAAATATGTTAAAATATGTTTAAATATGGTTTACTTTTGTTATGTAATCAAGTAGACTATGTGGTCTAGCTGGGTATGGGCTTCTTTTGAATAGTTTTCATGTTCTCACAGTGCTTACGTATACTCATTTGTCGGTGTGAACGAAAATTGAATATCGACATCGGTGACATCGGTTATCGGCGATATCAGAATTCTGACATCGGATATCGGTATCGGCCAGAAATTTTAACATCATGCATCACGAGTGTCAATCAGTTAATTGTATTTTTTTATATGACTTATTTCCGATGCAGATGCACAAAATCCTCCCATCGTTCTATAAATAATAATTCCTTCCAATCAGCAAGTCATGAGTCTGTGAGAACTCCTGTATTTGGTCACATCTACATATATATCGGAGAAAAACACGACATTGCAACGGAAGTTTTTGCTAATTTTCTGCAGCTCTTCTTGTGAATAAAACCATCATCAAGGCACGAGCAGCTCCGACTACAATCAGGATAGAGTTGTGTTTCCCGATATGTTTTGTTTAAATGGAGCCTATTCTTCTTGTCTTATAAACCTCAGGATCGCTCAGTCATTTATTCGTCTGTTTTAGGGATAAATCGCTCCACAAAGGCCTGTGGAGCAAAAAAACTTCTTCAAGTCAACAGGGGAAAAAAATAAAGTGAAGTTTCCTCCACTGAGAATCTATATGGCTCATTTTTCTGCTCTTCAGGGAAACAAAACACTCGTGACCTCCTCAGAGAACCTCATTCTAACTCCACAGGATGTTCTACGGCTGGCGAAGCTGCTTTCTAAGACAACCGGCCGGTCAGTGGGGGTCTGTTCTTTTAACACCGTTGTCTCAGACTTCACCAGATGCACTCAAGTTAACCCTGAAGTTAACCCTGAAGTTAACCCTGAGGCAACCTCGATAAGGGAGGCCTGGTGGAGAAGAAGAATCCCAGCCGGTGAAGCACAAACTGCAGCATTTCGTTCCTGAACTTCATCTGGACTCGGCCGCCCCGTGTGAAGACGCGACCCGAGCCTGACCCACATAGAGACCAGCGGGTGAGCGGAGATGACAGCCTTGTACTCTGGATGCTGATAACCGGCAGAAACTTCCTGGTGAGCGTATGAATGTTGGAGGAAATCGCCGGTATTAAGGGATTGAGGACAGAAGGGAGAAGAAAAAAGAAGTCGCTCCTGCTCATTCTGCAGCTCGTAGTTTAGAGACGCTGATTGAAATCGTAGCACAGAGTCTGTGAGTATTTGGCTCCTCTTTATCTACCTTGTGTTTCCGCTGCATGGATCTAAACAATCATGAAAACAATCCAGAATTAAAATAATCATGAGCTGCATCTGTAATCAGCAAAAACAGAGTCCAAGAGTCAGTTCAGTATTTAAAAAAAAGAAAATATTAATATTTAAGAAGTGGAAACTATTTGATTTTTCCTTTTTTTTTTGCCTTAAAAAATATTTAAATGACCAAATCATCACTTAGATCAATCAACTGATTCATAAATTGACTATTTTTTGATCAATTTTATTTTTAATTTAGTTGTATTCAGATAAACTGTACTGCTTTATGTGTATTTTATTTGTAGTTATATTAAATATTATTTCAAATAACTAGTATTCTACACTAGAACTGCAACGATTAAACTATTAAATTAAACACTAACCATTCCATATGTAACTAGTCAATATTTCTGAGTCACGTTTTAGGAAGAAAAAGTCTAATTTCTCTGATTCCAGCTTCTGGACTGTAAATCTTTTCTGGTTTCTGTCCTCCACTGTGAGTATTTTTCATCTCTTTTTTTTGACATTTTATGAACAATACAACTAACCAACAGTTCAAACACCCAAAACTAATAAAATCAGTGGAAAAAAAATAAAAAAATATTAACATTTTAAAGGTGTTCATTTTACATTTTTGCCTTTTTTGCCATAAGAAATACTTCAATAACTAATTAACCACTTAAACTGTTGTTGTTTTCTATCAGTTGGTTAATAAACTGATGATTTTTGCTAAATTTTACACGTTTTGTTATATATATATATATATATATATATATATCATATACACTCTACTGATTGGATGTAAAAGCACACAAATGTAAGTGTAGACTATTGTTAGTTTCATCTTTTTAAACGAGCATTTTATACTACAAATATAAACAAACAAACAAATATAAACCTTTCTGATTAATTAATTAATCTGTGAGTCACTTTTCAAAAAAAGAAAAAGTCAAAATGATGCCATTGCAGCTTCTTCTCTAAATGTCAATGTTTTCTGGTTAATTTACTCTGTGACTGTCTTTTTCTCTGTTTTTTTTTTTGTTTGTTTGTTTTTTGACATTTTAGAAACCAGACAACTACGTGACAGTTGACTGCTGCAGATCAGTTTCTACCAACTTATTTATGAAAAAAAGAAGAAAACATCTCAATTCTGTGATTTCAGCTTCTTGGATGTGAACATTTTCTGGTTTCTTTACGTTTCTGTGACAGTAATTTCACAGTTTTTAAAATATTTTACGAAGCAAACAACTATCTGATATCTCAAAACTAATCAGTTAGGCAGAAAAAAAAACAACAAATATTAATATTCAAGTCATGGAAACTGTTAACTTTTGCCTTTTTGTCATGAAATTAAATCATTAAATGACAAATTAACCACTGAAACTGCTGCAGATCAGGTTTCTAACAACCTACTTATGAACAAAAGAAGAAAACATCTAAATTCTGTGATTTTAGCTTCTTGGATGTGAACATTTTCTGGTTTCTTTACATTTCTGTGACAGTAATTTTACAATTTTTGGGCATTTTATGAATCAAATCACTGAAACTGCTGCAGATCATGTTTCTAATCAACCTATTAATGAACGCAAGAAGAAAAAGAAGAAAAAAAATTCTCTCATTGCTAATTGACTGTTTTCTGGTTTCTTTACTTTTCTGTGACAGTAATTTCACATTTTTGGATATTTTATGAACCAAACAACGATCTGACAGCTCAAAACTAATCAGCTTGGTGTAAAAAACAGCAAATATAAACATTCAAGTTATAGAAACTGTTAACTTTTGCCTTTTTTGTCCTAAAATTAAATCATTAAATGACCAATTAATCACTGAAAGTGCTGCAGATCATGTTTCTGTCAACGACTTAATGAACGCAAGAAGAAAAAGTGTGATTTCTTTAATTGCAGCTTTCTGAATGTGACTCTTTGCAGCTTTTTATTCCTCTCTGACAGTATTTTTCACCATTTTCTGACCCAAACAGCTAATAACCATTCGAGAAACTAAGCGACAGATTTCAGAAGCTGATTGAAATCTCGCGGATCGCCTCGGCGCCTGTGATTACTCCGCTCCTCCCGTTGCTGCTTTGTGTTTCAGCCTGAAGTGACAGACTAATGAGCTCTAATAGGCGAGTTTCAGCGCACCTGTATCGGCGCCTGTGGGGAAAACCAGAGCACATGAACAAACTTGTTCCAGTCACACCTGTGACTAAGCCCCGACCGGCCGGGTGTCACTCTGAACCTCCGGAGAAGCTTTGTGCCGCCGCTCCGACCTTCCCGCAGGACGAGAGGAGAAAGACTCGACGACAAAAGCCGAGCGGCCACACGTGCCCACACACTTGATGCTCGAGTCCCCGCGGTGCTAAATCAGATCAGGGGGGGAAAAAGGCGGGAGACGGTGAGGCCGCGGAGGGAGCGTAAAAGAAGATTACGGAGGGGAGATGCTCAGAGGACGAATAAAGAGGAGAGAGATGCTGCAAACAGGAGGAGGCGGCAGCTTCAGGTCCGTCTGAGCTGCCTGCAGTCAGAGCCGGGAAGCGACGTGATGAATCGGCGGATCACAACACCATCTGGAGCTGCGTCCCTCTGCTGCTCCACACCCAGAGACTCTCCACTATGTAGGCCACTGTGGCACTACCAGGCAGGGAACTCTGGGGAGATGTGTGCCACACATCTGAACTCAGGACGCAACTTACTGCACGGATTGATCAATTTGTTGCAGTCATTGATTCGATTGTTTAGTGAAAGATGACAAAAATTAATGCTCGAGATGTTTTGCTTGACCAACAGTCCAAATGTAACAAGAAATGAAGATGTGTTCACATCCGAGAACCCAGAATCCCTCAACGATTAATCGATTAATCGCCGAAGTTAACGGTTTGATTTCTTGTTTGATGACTCGTTTGGTCTTTAAAACGGTCAAAAATTCATTTAGTTACATCCACAACCCAAAAATATTCAGTTTACTGTCACAGAGGAGGAAAGAAACCAGAAAATATTGACATTTGAGAAGCTGAAATTTGAGAATTTCCTCATTTTCTTCTTTAAAAAAATGACTCAAACTGATTAATCGATTAATCACTTTGGCCAATTTGGCTCTGCTATGAGCTATATGTCTCATTTGGTCTCTAAAATGTCAGAAAAAAAGTGATAAAATGTTGATAAAAGCCCAAGATAACATCCTGAAATCTTTTGTTTTGTCCACAACCCAAATATATTCAGTTTACTGGCACAGAGGAGGAAAGAAACCAGAAAATATTCACATTTAAGAAGCTGAAATGAGAGAATTTAGCCTTTTTCTAAATGAAAAAATTACTCAGACTGATCAATCAATTATCAACAGAGTTGGCGATTAATGTAACAGATAACAACTAATCAAGCAATCGTTGCAGATTAATCGATTAATCGCTGTGGCTAACTGTTTAAACTCTACTTTGAGCTGCATGTCTTGTTTGATCACTGCTTTGGTCTCGAAAATATCAAAAAATGGTGGAAAATGTAAATAAGTTTTGTCCACAACCCAAAAATATTCAGTTTACTGTCACAAAGGAAGAAAGAAACCAGAAAATATTGACATTTGAGAAGCTGAAATCAGAGAATTTTCTTGTTTTCCTTTTAAAAAAACAACTCGAACTGATTAATCGATTAATCACTTTTGCTAATTGGGCTCTACTATGAGCTATATGCCTTGTTTGGTCTATAAAATGTGAGAAAAAAGTGATAAAATGTTGATAAAAACCCAACATAACATCCTGAAATCTTTGCCTGAATGACTCAAACTGATTAATGGATTAATCACTGTGGCTCTAATTAGAGCTGTACGTCTTGTTTGGTCTATAAAATGTTAAAAAAATGGTGAGAAATGTAAATTTGTTACATCCACAACCGGAAATATATCCAGTTTACTGTCACAAAGGAGGAAAGAAACCAGAAAATATTCACATTTAAGAAGCTGAAATTAAATAATTTCCTCGTTTTCGTAAAAAAAATGACTCCAACTGATTAATCGATTAATCACTGTGGCTAATTGGGCTCTGCTATGAGCTATATACCTTGTTCGGTCTATAAAATGTATTAAAAAAATGTGAAAAATGTCAATTGAAGCCCAAGACGACGTCCTAAAAATGTCTTGTTTTATCCACAAGCCAAAGACGTCCAGTTTACTGTCACAGAGGAGGAAAGAAACCAGAAAATATTCACATTTAAGAAGCTGAAATGAGAGAATTTAGCCTTTTTCTACATGAAAAAATTACTCAGACTGATGAATCAGTTATCAACATAGTTGGTGATTAATGTAACAGATAACAACTAATCAAGCAATCGTTGCAGATTAATCAATTAATCGCTGTGGCTAACTGTTCAAACTCTACTTTGAGCTGCATGACTTGTTTGATCATTGCTTTGGTCTCGAAAATATCAAAAAATGGAGGAAAATGTAAATTAGTTTTGTCCACAACCCAAAAATATTCAGTTTACTGTCACAAAGGAGGAAAGAAACCAGAAAATATTGACATTTGAGAAGCTGAAATCAGAGAATTTCCTTGTTTTCCTTTTTAAAAAACGACTCGAACTGATTAATCGATTAATCACTTTGGCTAATTGGGCTTTACTATGAGCTATATGCCTTGTTTGGTCTATAAAATGTGAGAAAAAAGTGATAAAGTGTTGATAAAAGCCCAACATAACATCCTGAAATCTTTGCCTGAATGACTCAAACTGATTAATGGATTAATCACTGTGGCTCTAATTAGAGCTGTATGTCTTGTTTGAACTACAAAATGTTAAAAAATGGTGAGAAATGTAAATTTGTTGCATCCACAACCGGAAATATATTCAGTTTACTGTCACAAAAGAGGAAGGAAACCAGAAAACATTCACATTTAAGAAGCTGAAATTAGACAATTTCCTCGTTTTCGTAAAAAAAATGACTCCAACTGATTAATCGATTAATCACTGAAATGTTTTGTTTTGTCCACAACCCAAATATATTCAGTTTACCATCACAGAGGAGGAAAGAAACCAGAAACTATTCACATTTAGCTCAGAATTTAGACCTTTTCTTCTTTAAAAAAAAATGACTCAAGCTGATAAAATGATGATCAAAACAGTTGACGACTAACTGATTCATCACTGCAGCTCTGTTGTTCTATTGGCCTTCGTACAGCAACGTAGCCCTAAAACGGTCGCCTATAAATGACTGTATCTTGTACGATTGTAACATTTATGAGATAAAAATCCATCAGACATGTTTGATCAACGAACACCAACGAGGTCACGACTTTCTTCATCGAACACTGAATCTGTTCTAAAAACAAAAAGGTAGAAAATGGTGAAAAAAAGTGAATTCTGTCTTCAGATAGCTTTAATCCTGACTGCAAAACCAACCCATCATTAGTTTATTATCAGTTTAAGGAACCTTTAAGGGGAAAAAGTCTCAATTGTTTGATTCCTGTGGATATTTTCTGGTTTCTTTTCGCTGCCATTTTTGGGTAAAACAAGAAATGTGTCATCATGGAAACACTAAACATTCAGGAAACACTGACGCAGACAATTAATTGACTAAATGCGAAAATAATCAACAGAGTAACTTCAGTGACTCGATTAGCTCCATTTTTTTTGGTATTGCAGGAAACAAAATCACATTTGACCTGAAACTAAATGAGAAACTGGATGACAGGGAACATTTTCTGGTTTCTTTACTTCTCTATGACACTAAACTGAACATCTGATCAATACTTTTCACCATTTCTGACATTTTAGAGATCAAACAACTAAAGATTAATGCAGAAAATAATCGGTAGACAAATCAACGATAAGAACTATCTTTACTTGCAGTGTTAGAGGAATATCGTATCCCGTTGCCTTCAGGACGGAGATACAGGACACTGCGCTGCACAAAGGCTCGTTTCGGTAAAAGCTTGATGCCTGCAGTCAGAGCTGCCTTAAACAAAATTCCCCGCTGAGCATCCCTGGACTACATTGTCATGTCTTTCATACTATTTCATGTTGTCCTTTGTGTTGAAATGTTACTCTGTCTGTGTACCCTTATGTGGGATTCTGTGTAGTTTGTGTTGTCATGTTATGAGATGGAAGTCAAGGGCTGGTCTGTGGAAAAGAATTTCCCCCTGGAGACACTAAAGTCTATTAGTGACTAAATCATCTTAATTCTTTTGTTTCATGCCAAACAAACACATTTTACATCTAAAGTTAGACGAGAACCTGTTTAAGATCAATGAATTTAAACATTGTTGTGGCTTCTTGACTCCTCCTGGACTGTAAACTGTTGATAGATTGTATTTATTCTACATTTTCCACCATTTTCTGACATTTTGAAGACCAAACAACTAAAGATTAATGGAGAAAACAACCGATAGACGAATATTTTGTGCTGTTTTGTGCCAAACAAAAGCAAATATTCATCTAAAACTGTACGAGAACCCGTTTAAGATCGATTCTCAGAATGCAGCTTCTTGAATGTCAACATTTTCGTGGCTCCTTGACACTAAACTTCCAATAAATATAATTTATTTGATATTTTTCATAATTTTAAAGGCTGAACCAGTAATGACTAACTGACAAAATAATCAGCAATGGAACTGATTGTTCTGGTGAAGTCACTTTCATTTTGGTCCTTTGATGCCAAATAAAAACACATTTTACACCTCAAACTACATGACAACCTGTTTAAGATCAACTCAGTGATTTCAGCTCCATGAATTTGATCTTTTTTGTGGCTCCTTGACTCCTCCATGACTGTAAACTGTCAATAAACTGGATTTATTCTACATTTCTCACCATTTTCTGACATTTTACAGAACAAACATCTAATTAATTGATCCAGAAACCCCCCTACAGACTAACTGATAGTGTAAATGTTGGCTCTTGGTGGCCTTCCTGCTCCACACTCAGGAACCTGCTTCTCACATGAGACCACCAGGGAGCTCCGCGGGGACCCCGTGGGGGGCCCCGGGCCACACTTTGACCCTCACTGCTCTACCGGCTGGTCCTGCCGCTCGCTCCCACTCAGCGCACACACACGCACGCACGCACGGCTTCACTCACGGGCAGATCCACGTTCACGTCCGAGCCGTCCAGCAGCAGGACGCGGCAGCTGATGGCGGTCCGCGCCGCTCCGGCCGCCGGGATGTGCACCGCCGCCCCGCCGGTGACCACGGCGGGCGCGTGGACGACCTGCTGCTGGTGGGCCAGGAGCAGGGGGTTCCCGGTCACCCCGCCTCCCCCGCCTCCTCCCCCCTTGCCGTCCCGCTCGTCCCTCTCTCTCGTCTGGAAGCGGCTCCGGGAGCGGCGGCTGAACGTCCGGCGCAGAAAGCCCATCATCTTCCCGATCCAGCCGGCGGGCGGCTCCGCGCTGTCGTGTCCGCGAAAGCTGCTCCACACGGCGGCCGGGGCTCCTGCTGCTCCTCCCCGGGGCGAGGAGTCACTCCGCAGCCACGGAGGAGACTTCAGGGCTGCCGATCAGTGCTCGGCGGCTGCGGGGGACTCCGGCCGCATACTAATGAAACTACCGCGGATCCAACCAGTTGATTTGCGGTGCTCCGGTCCCGGACTGAAACCCGAGCAGCCCTCCTTCCTCCCCGCTGCTCCTCCCGTCCGGTCCGCTCCGTGCACCTGCCGCCTGCTTCGCTCGCTGTTGCGCACCAAATCCCAGAGAAAGCTGGTCCGGCGCTGCGCAGCGGGAGCCTGAGTCACACGGAGCCGCTGGAGGGAGGGAGGAAAGTCCGATCAAGCCCTGGACCGGACCCCGCTGCCGGCCGCCGCTCGTCGTTACCACCGGCGAACCGAAACTAGTCCACCTCTCAGGTAAAAGTCAACCAGCGAAACTGGACAAACAGCCTCGTCTGCGCCTGCGTAAAAACACAGCGCAGAACAAACTTCTGCTCCTGCCGCCTGCTCGACCCGCCAGCGCCGGAGAAGCAGCGCCGCCTGGCTGCCGCGGCCCCGCCTGGCTCGGGAAGTGGAGCACATCGTTAGTGGTTCCCAAGGTGGGGTCCAGGGATCCCTGGGGAGGTCGCCAGAGGGTCTCCAGAAGGTCTCAGGTGCAAAGACGGAGATTTATGTCCACATCCGGTCACAAGTTTCAGTCAAACCTGAACTGTGCTGCACCTTTCATGGATATAATGAAATGTAGAGTTCAGTAAAGGTGACTGAGTCATCAGACAACACAAATACAGACTCATGCACACATGAAATAAAAGTAAGGAATCAAATCCTTGAAACAGCAAAATTTAAATAAGATCAACACAATTAAATCAAATGTCACCATGAACCAAAACATCCCCCATGAAAATTTAATTTAACATAATTTTTCACATTATATTATTTGCTGATTGATTTTGCAAAAAAACATCCAAACACCACAACATTTATATTTCTGTTCATCGGGCTCCTTTACAAACAATTATTTGTGCAGCATTTTTATGGATTTTAATAAAATTTAAAGTTCTGTGCAGGAGTCATGAGGCAACACAAACACAAACTCATGTACACTGGAAATAGAAAATAGAATTAAAAACTGTAAACAAATCCAGAATAAAAATGTGGAAAATCAAATTTAAACAAAAAGTAAATGTAAAAAAATCCGGCTGGAAGATTGTGAGTCTAAAACATCACCTTTTTTTACTTTAATTTTGTATATTTTGTTATTTATTCCTGATTAATTAAGCAAAAATGCCTACTTCTCTTGAGGGCTTTTTACAAATACTTTACATTTTTAGTCAAAATCTTATTTGTGCAGCACCTTAATGCATTTTAGTGCAATTTAAAGTGCCATGCAGGTGACTGAGTCATAAGAAAACACAAACACACAGAAAATAAACAGATTTTTAAAACAAAACAAACTTTAAACAAATCAACAATAAAAACAATTATATAGAACATCTTAAGCTGAAAAAATAAACATTTCTAATGAAAACATCTCCTATCATAATTTCATTTACTTGAATTTTTCATATTTAATTATTTACTACTGATTTATTTTGCAAAATATTCCAAAATATTAGAAGATTTATGTCCCTGACTTTCAGTCAAACTTTTTTTGTGCAGCATTTTTTATGCATTTTAAAACAATTTAAAGTGTTTTACAAGTCACTGACAAGCTCTCAAGACAGCACAAATACAGACTCGTGCACTATTCAACAAATAACTAGTAAAAATAGAAAACAAAACACTTTTAACAGCCAAACTTGAAAAATGTAAACTCTTCAAATCCAGCACCAGGCTGAAGAGGTATTTTCATATCCTGCGTCAAATTCCCCCTTAAAACATCCTTCGTCATACTTTTATTTATTTAAACTACTTCAGATCTTCATATTTTATTTACTACTAATCAATTTTGCAAAAATATTTCCAAATAAAAAAGCTCCACACTGCCGGGAGTCAAGCTTCTGACAGAGAAATGCTGAAAAACTCTGTTGAGTTGAAACCACATCGGCCAAACTAGCTGAACTGAAATCAAGTCAGAAAATCAGCCGATAAATCAGGGAATCAGTTTTATGACTTGAAGCTGGTATGTTACATAAATCAGAAAAAAAAATAAAGCAAATTTCTAAATCCCCAGCTCACCTGAACACTTATAGAAAGAGGAGAAGCAGAATAAGAAAGTGGATTTCTTGTAAATAAATATGAAAACTAAGGGGGAAAAAACTTCCAAGCAGAAATCAGTGCCATCAGCGGGCATTTACTTCATCCTTTTAATAAATTTAAGATATAAATACTCACGTCTGCCTTTGTAAAGTATGTTTCTTTGTTCTGTTAAACATCCAGAAACTTCCTTTCACAGGCAGCATGTCTTCCTGCATCTTCCTGTTCTACAGAATAATGATTCATTTCATCTGGGTTGAGTCCATGTGTTAATTTTTAACCGCAGACTGAAAATATGACCTCAGTGGAATCTGCAGGCCTGTTTTTCTCTCCCGTCAGATGTGTGTCTGTCTTGGCAAAACGTCGTACAAATGTCGGGTTTTGCTCTTTAGTCTGTTGGTTCTGATAACAGGTTTGCTCGCTGGATCTTTGTAAATATCACTCTGCATTAAAAAAAAAGCACCTCAGCACAAGAATATCATCGTCATAAACCTGCAGAGGCACCGCGGTCCCCACAGCTGTATTACATTTCGTTATGGTGTCTTTCTTTAAGCCAATATTTTGTCATATCCAGACTGTTTTGGCTGATTTGTGATGCTGAGATAGTTTCACTGATATGATGCCAGATTTAGAGGCACTCAGCTGAAGGTTAAATAAGCACGATACTTCACTGAGCAGCTTCAGCCTGAAATAAAATGTAGGAAAGGCTTCTGTAAGACAGCAGAAAGCTTTTACAGAACCTAAAGTGACATATCCAGTATGAAGAAGAAATTAGTACACCATTGTGCAATATTACTTCTGTGTTAAATGACTCCTCCCCACTAGCACATTATTCCTAAGCTGACAAGCAGAGTACATCTTGTTATGAACAATCAAAAACAAATACTTAAAAAAAGACCAAAGCAGAAACTCAAAGCACCAGAAGTGAATCCACATGTGATCACTGAAACTAAACTGAGTCCATCTGTGATTTCCAATCAGCCTATCCGCATGAACATGTTTCTAAAATGAACTGTGAACAGCAGAACTTTCTCAGTTTTGGACAGATGGACTGTTTCTATCTGCATGTCTGCATCATGGCTCCACGTGGAAAAGAATTAAACAGAGGAACTGAAAAAAAAACAGACACAAACAAACAAAAAGATGGGAAAGAATCCAGGAAGATCAGTGACCAACTAAAAGTCAGTAAAATACAGCTGCAGCAGTAATCAGGAGGTCTAGACCAGAGATCTCCAACTCCGGTCCTTGTGAGCTACTGTCCTGCAGGTTTTAGACGTTTCTGTACTGCAGCACACCTGACTCACATTAATGGATCATTCACAGACTTGTGCAGAATTTGACAACAAGCTGTTGGTGATGCATTAATGTGAGTCAGGTGTGTTGCAGTACGGAAACGTCTAAAACCTGCAGGACAGTAGCTCACGAGGACCGGAGTTGGAGATCTCTGGTCTAGAAGGAGACACAGTAGCACCAATCAGGGCTGCAGTGGTCATCTTCATGAAATCACTCCTCAGACAGTGAACTAGTCTCACAATCTAGCTTTGAAATAAACAGACGACAGCTGCTTCAGACTTGGCACAGAGGTTATCAATGGAAACCAGAGTTTGTGTGAAGCTCAGACAGTGTGAAGGACGCTTCAGAACATCAACCTCTGTGGACGGAGGCCAACAAAACAACCTTGTTTGCTGTTCGGCTCAAAACTGCAACATAAAACTCGCAGAAAAGCATGAAAAGAAGCCTGATGAATGTTGGAGAACATTCTTTGGTCAGATGAAGATAAACGTGTTGGGCTCAAATGGAGTCCAGATGTTTGGTGTGAACCTGACCAGGACCACCACAGTGGATGCATGGTCCTGACAGTGAAGCACGGAGGTGGCAGTATCATGATATGAGGCTGCATGAGTGTAAAAGGTGCTGATGACATTTATAGATGAATGTCTGAGGATAAACCAGAATACTGGCTGACTAGATGACTCCCAGTCTGCAGAAGCTGGAAGAAGAGGAATATTCCAACAGGAGAACCATCCAGAGAACAAAATCTCACAAGAGGTTTTAGAGAAAAAGGTAAAAACTACCACCTGGACAAGGACTTGAATCCAATAGAACACCTCTAAAGAGAAAGACAGAACATCTCTGCAGAATAAAGGTGGATCTATGAAGTTTCCTCAGTAATGAAAGGTGACATTTGTTGCACTGAGCTCCTACTGTGGAGTCTGTATTTTTAACATAGTAAATCTAAACTGCTAGTTTTAAATTCTACACAAGAGCTAAGACTGTACTGTTCAATATAGAAACTGTCATTCCAGTCAGATGATAGGATTTTTAATTATTTAAGTGATGTTGTACAGGAGTGAACTCACTGTGTGCTCCTGTATAAACCTCATTTAAAGCACACAGTCAGAATAAAGGACAGAGCAGACACATCAGTATAAATCAGTGTATTTATTTTGTGTTGTAATAATTTAAGTGTGATAAACAGTGAATCTGGTGCTCCTCCGGCAGACACCGTGACCTTACAGTATCTGCTGTAGTGATCTAAAGCCAGCCTCCATCCTCGTCCTGCAGATAAACTTGAGATTACAACGATCCCGGTCAGCCTCTGCCGCCCTGTTCGATCTGCCGACGGGGAAGTCTAAGGCACAGATAGCTTAATAAGTCGAGGCATCATTCCTGAGTGGCCTCTTGAACAGAAATTAGCAGCTCACGTCAGTCTCGCAGCAGTCTCTATGGAGACCGCCGTCTCTAGAAGCTTTGCACTTTCAGCAAAAACTAAGGCCGTCTAGGTGTACGATTCATATTATCACACAGCTGCACAGATCACAGACAGCCGTGCTCTGAAGCTAGTTATACTCTCATTATCGAGTCTGTGCTCCAGGCCCGTCAGCGGGACAGAGTTTAATCTGCTGCAGCTCCGGAGAGTCTCTCAGTGGAAGTCGACTACTGCGAGCGGAGGCAGAAAAGTGTCTGTTCTGGTCCTGTTCTGGCTGATTTGGGTTACTTTGCTGGAGATCGTTCTTTTTTCTCTTTGTAGACTCTCAGGATGGCCTCGCACACAAACTGGAACTGACACTGAAACACAAAACACAAAATGTTAGAGCAACACAAGGCTGTTTCTGTCATTTTCTTACTGTCAACAAACAGCATGAAAAAAAAAACGTAGAAAAGATGCTTTTTTCTTTCTGGTTCGTCCTTTCTTTCAGCGGTGTGTCATAAAGCTGCTTCTTTTTGTGCATGTAAAAGGTCTGCAAACTTGGAAAGGCCAAAGTCAAAGAGAATTATTCTCTCCCACAGAAACACGTCACCAGGTAATAGATTTGCATAACGCCTGCCTGCTAGCTGCTTCGGCTCTCCAACAAAGAACGAGCAGCTTCCTCGACATTATTTTC